ATACTTGTGAGGGGTGATGAAGATTTTTTTTTTTTTTTTTTTTTTTTTTTTTTACACTGATTGCTTTTACACCCATATAGGATGTAAAAGCAATCATTTCTCTTTCTCTCTGTGTGCATTCTTGCACTCATTGAGAAGAACTGGTTATACCAATATTCATCTGAGTCCTGCATTGATCCAGCACTGTGCTCAGTTTCAATTTTTCAGTGGGGGCTGGGTTGGGCAGAGCCAGGCCGAGCTGCACTGTGTATGTCAATGGGAGCACACAGCCCGGCTCAGAATTGAGCCTGCATGTCTGCCCCCATAGCAAGAGCTTGCTATAAGGTCAGACACAAGAGGAGGAGCCAAGATCATTCGTGGAGGACCATAGAAAATTAGATTTGGGGCTAGCCTGTGTAAAAACCATTGCACAAAGCGGGTAAGTATGCTTGTTGTTTAAAGAAAAAAAAAAAAAAACGCCTGTACCAACACTTTAAGGTAGGTAGTAAGATTTTTGTAGATTCACAACTCTTATGTTGGAAACACTTCATTTTCGTACCCTCTGCTGATCTAGTTCAACAAATAGAAAACCTCTGTTTACACAATCGCATACTGACAGTTGATCCAGAAAGCAAAAACCCACCCTAATAAAGCATGCGCTCCGGTAAGGGGGGATTCCTTCCTGATCCCCCAGGAGGGGCCTTGCTAGGATTGTAAAGGACCTAGGATGTCCTTGAGAAGAGTGCAGAAGTCAGGCGTATGTGATGTACACCGTACCAAGTCGATATACTGTGCTTCACATTGGGGATCAATAGGCAGAAAGATTAGCCCCCTAAATTGAATCTTTACATTTGTAACTGAAAATTTTGGGTACTAAATCCTTAGGCCTTGTTAAAATGTGCTTTGAAAATGCATTATAGACACACTTTGCATGCATTTTTTTATGTGTTTCCCTTGTGTCAAATAACACTTTCAAGATGTCTTCTCTGTGTTGGTTTTCAATTGTATGGATTCTTGTATCATCATCTCAGCTAGTAACGCTTTCTAAATGCAACTCAAATAATAGAGTCATTTTGGGCAAGTTTACATTGATTTGAATTGAGACATTAGGGGAGCTGTAAAGCCAGTCGAATTCTACATGTTTGATAAAATTTTGACATGATGCAGTGCAAACATGACCATGTGAACAACACTGTCCTCTGCAATGCACATAATTTACACAGAGCTTTACAGGCATTTATTAGCCTTCAAAAAACGCAGATGAAACTCCTGCTTTTGATGCCAGTGTACACTTAGCCTTACAGTTTCTGCACCAAATCTGCGCTAACAGGATATATTCAGCGAAAAAGTTTCTATACAACTTGTAAAGATGTAAAATTATGTTTTTGTCCCTGTATAATAATCATTTTTTTGTCAGCTGATAAGCACAGACTAGCGTAGTACAACTGGAATACTGATAGTTATGACCTTACATAATCAGAATGTTCCAAGTTTACGTGTCCTATACTTCGAAGAAATGTTCTTATATATTCTGAATAGGTCTTTGGATTATTAAAACAATGTCTGTTGTTCCTTTCACTATAAGCAGAAAGAAAGCCTATTCCAAATTGTTACTGGCCCTAAAAAAACAAAAATATTCAGTCAAATGATGCTGTTCTACAACCATCTTACGAACTCAGTTATGTTTAACTTGATACTAACTTTGCATTAAAACCGTTCTTGCTTTCCTACCAGCAATTTAGCTACAGCTAAGAGCTTGAAAACAACATTGAAAAAATGCAAAAAGCAGTTACACTTTGTCAGCTATAGTACCATATATGTAACTGCAGAGCAAAACATTTATTTGTAGTAGGATATACATGAAGAGAGCAAGATTCTGTCCATTTTATTCAGGTCAGTAATGTTATAAATGTTTCACAGCACTAGATGAAATAAATCAGACTGCCCCTCCTCTTCTAACAAACTAAATCTGCCTTTATTTTATCCAGTATATGATCTACTGATAGCAGTTCATATCTCACAGTGCATAACTATTTATGAAATTCATTATATAGTGTTTTGATGAGATGACGTAATCATTATTTAGCACTGTATTATCTCTAATTTTTTTTTTTTTAATGCTAGAAGTGCTGAAGCCTGTGATTGTTGATAACCTTCGATTATAAAAATTAAATTCTTCTAAATAAATAAGACAAAGTAAATCTGTGGCCAATCTATGGACATTTAAGTATTTTAGCATTCTTAACAAGCAGTATATAAGCTCTCAAAAAAGGCAAAAAAAGTTGCTCAAGTAATTTTCTCAGCAGCTCAGCGATCCCTGACTACCTGCTTTGTCTTCCGGTTGAAGACTGGAAGGCTGCCAAGTCACTACTGAGAAAGGGAAGCTGCTGAGAGAATAAAGTCAATGACTCTTGTTGTGAACTTTGAGAATGAATAGCTCCACAATGCCTGCAGCTACAGAGGCCAGTGAAGACTTGTTTTAAAATCTGTTTTTAAGAATTTGTAAATACTTGAATGCACATAGCCTGGCACATAGCCTGGCAAACATTCTCTTATAGGTATACTTTAATTAAACATCAATCTTAACAAAGTCTAAGGCTAACAGGTCCAACAACACAATCTTATCCCTCTCTTACAACAATGACCCTATTATAGCTTATTTTATATGCATATTCTATACTTCGGGTGACTTTGCAGAAGGGGCTTTTTTGCGTCAATTCATTTTATGGATTCCTACACACACTTGAGAATCCTGCAGAGAACACATGATGGGAATTCCCCTGAGATATCGAGTAACCACATTGACCCTTCATGGAGATAGGTTTTCTCCATCTGCGCACTTGAAAAGTTGAGTGCGCACACCTCTTTGGAAGACTGCAGCCTCAACATATGTAAGTCTATCTTTTTCTCTTTCTGCTATGGATGAATTCTAAATGATCTTTATCCCCTTTTGAAGCAATTCATCCTGTTTTTCAATTTATGTACTACGCTAAAAGGGCTCTCCTGCCTCCCTTTTTTTTTTTAGTTGGACAGGCTGAGCTATGCCAGAGATCCCTGGCTAGTTCTTCAGGATCTTTTGGACCACATCTGACCACCGTATCTTTAAACACTTTAAGTCCGGACACTTTTACCCCCTTCCTGTCCAGACCAATTTTCAGCTTTCACTGCTATCACACTTTGAATGACAATTGCGCGGTCATGTAACACTGTACCCATACAATGAGAAACAGAAGTATTTGAACATCCTGCGATTTTGCAAGTTCTCCCACTTAGAAATCATGGAGGGGGTCTGAAATTTACATTGTAGGTGCATTCCCACTCTGAGAGACAGAATTAAAAAGAAAATCAGAAAATCACATTGTATGATTTTTAAAGAATTTATTTGTCTTGCATTGCTGAACATAAGTATTTGAACACCTGAGAAAATCAGTGTTAATATTTGGTACAGAAGCCTTTGTTTGCAATTACAGAGGTCAACCGTTTCCTGTAGATCTTGACCAGGTTTTGCACACACTGCAACAGGGATTTTGGCCCACTCCTCCACACAGATCTCCTCTAGATCTGTCAGGTTTCGGGGCTGTCTCTGAGCAACACGGAGTTTCAGCTCCCTCCAAAGATGTTCTATTGGATTTAGGTCTGGAGACTGGCTAGGCTACTCCAGAACCTTGATATGCTTCTTACGGAGCCACTCCTTGGTTATCCTGGCTGTGTGCTTCAGGTTGTTGTCATGTTGGAAGACCCAGCCACAACCCATCTTCAATGCTCTGACTGAGGGAAGGAGGTTGTTGCTCAAAATCTCACAATAAATGGCCCCATTCATCCTCTCCTTAATACAGTGCAGTCGTCCTGTCCCCTTCGCAGAAAAGCACCATCAAAGCATGATGTTACCACCCCCATGCTTCACAGTAGGTATGGTGCTCTTGGGATGCAACTCATCCTTCTTTTTCCTCCAAACACGACGAGTGAAGTTTAGACCAAAAAGTTCTACTTTTTGGTCTAATCTGACCACATGACTTTCTCCCATGCCTCCTCTGGATCATCCAGATGGTCATTGGCAAACTTCAGACGGGCCTGGACATGTGATGACTTGAGCAGGGGAACCTTCCGTGCAATGCATGATTTGAAACCATGACGGCGTAGTGTTCTACCGACAGTGACCTTTGAAACTGTGGTCCCAGCTCTCCATGTCATTGACCAGCTCCTCCCTTGTTGTTCTGGGCTGATTCCTCACCTTTCTTATCAGTGATACCTCATGAGGTGAGATCTTGTATGGAGCCCCAGTCCGAGGGAGACTGACAGTCGTCTTTAGCCTCTTCCATTTTCTAACAATTGCTCGAACAGTTGATCTATTTTCACCAAGCTGCTTGGCAATTGCCCCGTAGCCCATTCCAGCCTTGTGGAGGTCCACAATTTTGTCTCTGGTGTCTTTTAACAGCTCATCATGACTTGCCCATGGTAGTAGTTGGCGTCTGACTGTGGGGTGGACAGGTGTCTTTAAAGAGCTCAAACAGGTGCTACTAAGTTAGACTAATGAGTGGAGTAGAGGTGGACTTTTTAAAGGCACACTAACAGGTCTTTGAGAGACAGAATTCTTGCTGTTTCTTAGGTGTTCAAATACTTATGTTCAGCAGTGCAAGAAATAAATTCTTTAAAAAAAATCATACAATGTGATTTCCTGAATTTTTTTTTGTAAATTCTGTCTCTCAGAGTGGGAATGCACATACAATGTGAATTTCAGACCCCTCCATGATTTCTAAGTGGGAGAACTTGCAAAATCACAGGGTGTTCAAATACTTCTGTTCCTAACTGAATTTTTTAGCATTTGTTTGAGACAGATAAAGCTTTATTTTGGTGGTATTTATTCACCACTGGGATTTTTATTTTTAGTCACACTGTACTACTTGTGGTGGGGTGATGTATTTTTTTTTTTTTTTTACACTGATTTCTTTTACACCCATAAAAGCTGTAAAAGCAATAATTCTCCTTCTCTCTGGCTGCATTCTTGCAGCCATTGAGAACTACTGTCTGAGCTCTGATTGGTCACAGCTTGTCACAGGGTACAAGGCTGTTGTGAATAGCCTTGTACCATGTGACCATTCACAGATTTCATATGTAGTAAGCAATGATGTCAGAAGTGACATCTTGCTTACTACTCTGCATGATCGGGACCTAGCACAGATCGGTGTTCCACTGTGTCTGGAGGACACAGCGGGCACCAGATCATGGTGGTGCTGCGTGCACAAGCAGGGGCCCTGGAGGCCGTTTATAAATGGCCATCCGAACCTGCACTGCCGCTGTCTGGCCATTTATATACAACGGCCAGATGGGAGGTGGTTAAACTTACTCTATATGTGCAATATAGGTAAAAAACTATTTATAACTACAATTTTTTTACACTAATTTTAGAATACCCACCAGATCTCATTACTCTTAAATTCTTAAGTAAACAATCATGGTTTGGGGAAGGAAATTAACTCTTTAAACATTTAGAGATGATTCATTCGACATCGAGCTAAAAGCATGATATTGATTGTGGCGTAATGCTGCTTCTTTGCTCTATATCGCCAAGTTGCTGGTCTATTTCTTTCAGGCGTATTTTCTGTTCTCTTAGCTCCTTTGTGTAACGTAATGCTTGCTCCCCGGGTGCAGAAACTGAGTTCCCAAACTTGTCCAAAGACACTTCCTGAAAAGTAGCAGACAGATGATTACATACAAGGGGTGTGCTTGATGACTCACATACATATCACAATTCCCGTCAGTGTGTACTAGAATTCTCCAGACATTGTTTAAAACAGGCAGCTGTGGACTGTAATGTAGACAACTATGTTTATATAATGAAACAAATTTCCATCCAAAGGCATAGCAGTGTAACAACTTCAAATATAAAATGCACATCCACTACAGTTTCCAGTCATTTCCAGGTCAAAAGCCAATGTATTTGCTATTTGTCAATATTAATATATTAAACTGACAATAACGCATTTATAGCAATGTGAAACTACATTATAAAACCTTACATTGCATAAGCACAGGGTAATTAAACATACTCCTGAGCCAATGGGGACTACTGTATTAACGCCATCATAAAAAGATATTTGAAAAAATTTAAAATCCTACCAACATTTAAAGAGCAATTAGAAATATCAAGTTAATTCACAGAAAAACAGGATTATTGTTTTTACAGTAAAGTCAGTTTTGGAAAGTAGACAAGCAATGTCAACTAAGCCATCTACACAGTAATGCAAGGAAGAAGGCATACACTCTAAACATTACATTTGTAAGAGATCACTGAGGACAGGTTCTTTACTGGTGACAGGAATTAATCCAGTTCCCTGAGGTTAGGTATACTGAAATTATGTCAAACAACAAAACAGAATAATTCCCAGCTCAACTTGCCAGCCAGCTTGCAAACAAACCGAATTAACCTGTCTAACAGTATGCGTTAAAAACAGGGGTTTAGTTAGCACGCAAATACATTCGTAAGCTACAGAGCCTTGTCAGAGCACCTTAGTACTCTGTAGTTCCCAACTCTAGAAATGTTAAGAGCCCCCATAGTAGAGGCACATGTATTTAATGGATAGACCAAGGGCAGGTTGACCTGAAGGAGCCCATCCCTCCTTAAAGGTACAGGAGTGCACTGCACACCCAGCATGTAGCACAATGGCAGCTAACGTGTCCAGTGCGCCCCCTTGACAAACAATTTTGGCCATTTTTTGTACTGACATTATGGTAAGTTGCATATGAGGGCTGGATGTGTAAAGACATAATTATTTGTGGTTATGTATTAAAATATGTCTGCTATTATTATTGTAAAAGCCCAACGGTGCTGAAAGTCATACTCACATCTAGTGATAGATTTGAGTAATGCACACACATATATATAACTTTCTTTGCCCTTCACGATTGTATCAATGGTGGAGGACTTCCGCCAGGTTTAGGGCGTATAAGGGAAGTAATAATGACGGATCGTGACAATCAATTATCATGTCCGTGAGTTGATTGTACACACTAAAAAAGTGTGACGCCACACCGCATAGCCACTCCCTATGATTAAGTCGGGAAGTGAAGAAACACATCAGATTGGTTAAGCGGCAACCGGAAGTAATGAACATTGGAACCGGAAGTGACGAGGGACTGTCCGAGAGCGAGGAGCGGCAGTGGTGAGAGCATTGTGCGATGTTCCCTCTCTGATACTACCGATACATGGATATTTTCATATCTTTGGGCTTGTTTCATTCTATTATCTTGTAAGTGAGATTCTTGGAGAGAGATGAAATAGTTTTAAATGGTACTGCACCATGTCGGGTCTCTGTTTTTTCTTTTATGTGATGTTTGTGGAATGTTACCATCAGAGGCAATAATATATTGGAGAATTTGAATCATTCCTGGGAGGAATTGTTTTTGTGACCTGAGAAATCATCTTTACTCTGGAGGAACATATATATATAAAAGCGCATTTGTCAACCATGAGAATTGAAGGCAAATAATTTTGGTGAGTGCACACCTGAAGGGGGAGCATGGCACATTGGAAGAAATTATTTAAGCAGTCACGTGGTGATTTTCTTGCAATCATGATTGAATTCACATGGTGATTAGAGAAGGACTTCAACTTATGGACTTTTTTGTTGATTATCACTTTATTATTTACAGAGCGCTGCACTAATATTTTGGAATTACAGAATATGGTTTGTTAATATTTTTTTATTATGGAATGTGGCAGCTGATTATTTAATTTATATTGGGGTATATTTTATATATACTTTTTTATTTAGTGCAGTTTGTGTTTTGAAGGTCAATTTCTTTTTTGACCCAGAAAAATACGGTGATTTTTACACACGTATATAAATATATATTATATATCTTCCTAGATTGTAAGCTCCAAGGAGCAGGGCCCTCCTAACCCTCTTGTATTGAACTGTATTGTTGCTGTATTGTCTCCCGTTATATTGTAAAGCGCTGAGCAAACTGTTGGTGCTATATAAATCCTGTATAATAATAATAATAATCATCTAGACATAATTGTTCATCATTATGGCTCTGTTTTTTTTTTTATTATTCCTGAAATCCCGATGAAGGGGGAATGGTATTGCCCCTAAAACATGTTGAATGTTTTATATGATTTTTTTTAATCAATAATAATATTATCTTGGACTCTTCTATACGATTTTGGTTTGGCGCTCCTTTTTGTATTTCTGTTTTAAATTACTGTTGGGGCGCCCATTAATGGAAGCCTTGCTGTGTGGAATTTTTGAAAGATGGAGATTTTTAACTTGTTTGAAGTTTTCCTTCATCTGACTACGCTTGCAAGTCTAAAAGTTACCAGCAACTCTGAGTATGCTGTGCTATGTTACGAGAGAGAGCTTCCATATTGCAGAGACTGCTGCACATTCCAATAGCTTGCCATTTTACAGAAAATTCTAAATTTAAAAAAAAAAGACTAAAATTACAAAGAATGTCCAAATAAACAGGGATTACCCCTGCAGCAGTTAACGTGGTGTAGTGCAGTGCATTTAGGGAAGCTTGCATTCTGGTGGACAGAACTAGGTCTAATGGTTAGGCCCTCCAAACCCTCTTGTATTGAACTGTATTGTTTCTGTATTGTCTCCCGTTATATTGTAAAGAGCTGAGCAAACTGTTGGTGCTATATAAATCCTGTATAATAATAATGATGCTTTTCCTATTTTATAAGGATCTCCAAACTTTTGAAATAAAGAGCCAGTTTACTGCCCTTCAAGTTTTACAGGGGCCAGAATGTTGCCAGTGGTAGTAGAAAATGCCCTGGTATAGGTGGAAGTAAAAAATGCCATAGGCCTGGTGGTCAGTGGGAGTAAAAATATTACATCTTTGGTATCCGTGGGAGTAAAAAAACAAAATACATCTTTGGTGTCAGTGGAAGGATTAGTAACCTGTCATTGGTTTCAGTGGGAGAATTCGTTCCCCATCTCTGGTGTCAGTGGAGGAAATAGTGCCCTAGTGGTTGGACAAAGACAAGCAAAGGGCCACAGCTGGCCCATGGGCTGTAGTTTGGAGATCCCCTGCCTTAAGACAGGAGAAAAATCATTAGACCTCATCTGGAATATGCAGTTCCATTTTGGGCACCAGTTTACAAAAAGGATTTTGGAGAACTGGAGAAAGTACAGAGAATAGCAAACAAACTGATAAGAAGCATGGAGAAGCTCAGCTATGAGGAAAGATTAGATGAAGGGGGATAGAGGGAAATGCTTAAGTCCACTTTTTCCATTATTATTGATAATGATTCATAGGACCTTGTGAAAGGCTGCTAGTGACTTTACTGTAGATGTATAGTCTTTCTACATATGCTGATATAATAAAATAAGTTTTGGAGAAGTACCTGTGAAAGGTGTTATCTTGGACTCACAAAGCTTTCTTTTGCAATGTTTCTGTTAATTTTTGCACATTACTCTAAAAACAGGACACAGCTTTAATTCTATTTTTTACCTCTAGCACTGCACTTCAACACACAAGTGTATATGTGAGCTCAGGTACACTTTAAATAAGAAAGAAACTCTTTATTTTATGTATTGTGAGGAAAGTAAAATATAGAAATAACTTCTGTTCCCAGAAGGCAGTGCCAAAGACAATGTAAACGTTGGCACTGCCTTCTGAGAACAGAAGTTATTTCTATATTTTACTTTCCTCACAATACATAAAATAAAGAGTTTTTTTTCTTATTTAAAGTGTACCTGAGCTCAAAAGTGCAGATGTGATATGTTACAGGGCACATTTATAAATGTTAACTGTGTCTAAGCAGTATTCTAAAAACATTTAATTTTATTTTAATTTCCTTCTGAGGTCCATTACCCAAAGACACTAGGAAACAATGGAGGTCTCATGGAGTGGGGGGTAGGGTTATAGAGGTATGGGCCTGTCTAAAAAGCTTTGCTAGGGTCCAATCACCTGAAGGTAGCAACCTATACTGTATGCCAGAGTCTATGAATAGCCATCCTGTTTTGTGTACTTTATGATTTTAGGCTACTTTCACACTGATCTGTGGCAAAACCGTATATGCGTTCTTGCCACGTTTTCACTGCGCTTGTGGTGCATTTTTTGCAGGACATGTGACTCAAAAACCACACAAAAAATGCTGGGAGTTTTTTATGCGTTTTTGCTGTTTTCCATTTATTTCAATGGGGAGGTGCATTTTTGGTGCAGTTTTTTACTGCACCAAAAATGCAGAAAGCGGGATTTTAAAAATGCAATGTATCAGTGTGAAGCGTTCCATAGGATTACATGGTCACACGTTTTTTTCTTCCACTTTTTTTACTGCAAAATTGAAAAGAAAAACAGACCAGTGTGAAAACAGCCTAAGATATAACAGTACACTTTCTGATATGTGATGATGCCTAGGGACTCCTAGGCCTCCTGCCTCATAGCTGTATAACTGCAATGTGAGATCTAAGACACTGCTGCCTCTGACTGACTCACTGCTGTAGTGCTAACTATTGTCCTCAATGGAGGCTCTGACAATCTTTACACTAGCAGGGCCGGCTTTGTTGGCCTTTTCCATCCATTGAATCAAAGAGGTTTGGTTTTTCCAAGCATAGAAGATGAAGAGGTGTAACAAACTTTCCTTTTACTTTATAAAGCTGATTTATCCGCTTCCCAACCGCCTATAGCAGAAATACTGCTACAGGGTGGCACGGGTGCACAAAATTGCGTATATATATGTGATTTAGCATTTCCGGGTAGGGGCGTGCGCGCCCTACCCGTGCCACCATTCACAGCTGCGCCTGTAAATCACCGGGTCCCAGCCAGTAATTTCCAAGGATCTCAAACGGGGAGGAGAACGGTTTTGTTTACTAACAGTTCTCCCTGCCAGCTCGTGCACACTGCTTTGGATGGCTGTGCACAGCACAGCCATCCAAAGCAGTGTGATTACAGGGAAACACACTGACACAGCCCCCTAGTAAAACACTCCCAGCACACAGTTAACCCTTTGATCACCCTTTTTTGTTTATTTGTTTTTTTAGCACTGATCACTGTATTGGTGTCACTGGGGATGTCAGTGACACTAAGTCAGTTCCCCCCAGTGTCAGAATGTCCACCGCAGTCCCATTATAAGTCGCTGATCGTCGCCATTACTACTAAAAATAATTTTTAAAAAACAAACTCAGTATATATACTGCCATTTGTAAATGCTATAACTTTTACGTAAACCAATTAATTTACACGTATTGGGATTTTTTTTTTAGCAAAGACCTGTAGCAGAATACATTTTGGCGTACATTTGTGATGAAATTAGATTTTTTACATTTTTTTACTGGACATGTTTAATAGCAAAAAGTCAAATATTGCTTTTTTTCTCAAAATTGTCGGTCTTTTTTTTTTATTGCACAAAAAAATAAAAACCACACAGGCGATCAAATACCACCGAAAGAGAGCTAAATTTGTGGGGGAAAAAAAAAGGACGTAAATTTAATTTGGGTGCATGACTGCGCATTTGTCAGTTAAAATAACGCAAAAAAAATGGCCTGGTCAGGAAGGGGGGTAAATCCTCAGGAGGGCAATGTGGTTAAAGCTTATTGTTCCCCTTAAAAATAGTGACACATTCAGAGACAGAATTGTTAAAGTGGTAATAATCTTCAAACCAAAAAATGTATTGCAGTTTACCAATCCTTAGTGGTGACTGTGTTAGTAATATTTTTTAGGCTTTTTTCTTGATCCAGCCAGTAACAAATCCTGACTTCCAGGAATGTGTAGTGTTCCTGATCCTTGATAGCTGCTCGTCTCATTCCAGCATCCTGGTTTTGGCTGTAATACATTCTGTCTGTCCACCTGCAAGGTAATTGATACAGCCAGTCTCTGGGTGGAGACCAAGCCTGATTTAAGCCAGACAAGCCTACAGTCTCATGCTTGTGATATTGCATGTGTAACATGTGCTGCAAGCTGTCTGTCCTGCCTGCTAGTTTGGATTCACTTGTTGATGACCTTGGATCAGATATTGACTACTCTCTGAACTATTCATGCCTTTTGATGGATGGATTTGACCAGGACTATTCTGAACCTTGCTTGCCTTGTACCTGGGCTGTCCTTGAACCGCTCTGTCTGTCTTGAAAACCGGAAGTACCTGTTTACTGTACTCAGTTCGTGCCTGCCCCAGCATGGTAGCCAAGCACTATAGCATTGTGTAAAAGTGCTGGGGGAAACCAAATACTGATAGGCCTGCTTGCCTTATGGGAAAGGGGGTTGCTATAGCTGAAGAACAAAGAAACCAACTGTAGTATCTGATCACCTAAGTTAGAGGTAAACATGACACCGTCTTAAGAGTGTCTGAATTATGGATGAAGTAATAAAGCAGACATCTCTGGACAGCAGCATTGTCAGCCTGGGGAGAAGGTAATGTTGGACTAACCGATTTTAGATGAATTTGACTAACAAATTGAAGCCGATCTCAAGCTAACATTTTATTAACAGTTACAGCAACAATTTTTTTTTCCTTTTTAGGATAAAAGTTTTACATTAATGAATAAAAGTCAATCATTGTAAGCACTCCTGACAGTATTAAATAGCTTGTCTCAACACTCTAACTGCTACTTTGTTAGGACAGCTTGGTCTGTTAAAGTTAGTTGAAAAATAACACTTACTGGCTGGATCACCAGATGAAAATAAAATAAAAAGCCTGCAAAAAGAAAAGTAATGTAGCCACCATATCTATAATTTTTGTTACATATCTAAAAATGTATTACATTTTGGTTTGGGGTTTAGTGCCACTTTAAATGAAATACAGGCTTCATGGTTGTTATATAGTGTTTTAATTTGCCTTGCAAAGGTGGGACAAAATACAAATATAGTCAGTAACCGAAGAATACAGGGTCATTCAACAGAATTAAATGCCTTGTGCATTTTCAAATCCATAATGACTCTGAAGCCGACTGTATCAGGACAGGCTTGTAAACACAAGTTTACAAAGTTTAAAAAGTTGTCAGATCTCTCCGTGAAATGTGCACCCCTGCTGTGCTCTAGTGGAGTTATGCCTGGTTCCCCCAACTCAATCTCATTTTGGCTTATCCACTGGCTGGACCCTGTGGAGCATGCAGTGCTGTGTGCGGCAGGGTTGCTTCTATGAGACACGTGTGGGCAGCTATCCCATTGCTGCTTACTGCCTTCCCTGTTCCCTATCCCCTTCTTTTTTCTTTCTTTTCCTTCAATACTTTTTCCACTGACCCCTTCTTTTCTTTTTCCTTTTTGTTTCTTCCCCTTTTTATTTCTTCCCTTTTTTTTTTCTCTTTCTCCTCAATTACTGTTTTACCATCTTGGTTGTGCGGAGCTCTTTCATACTGGTTCATACATCGTGCCAGAGGATACTCCCCTGACAATCTGTTATGTTTTACCTCCGTAATATGGGTTATCGCTCCTTCCCTCTTACTGTTATATTGCACTATTTTCATTTACCCACATGGATCGTAACCACCTCTCTGATGGTTTTTCTTTTGTTTATATACTTGTACTTGTTTTTTGTATACTTCCTATGCTCTGTTTGTTAAATTTACGTAAAATAAGACAAATTTGCCTTTAAAAATTTGTCAGATATTTACAGTATATGTGTGGCTCTACCTGGTATTAAACCAATCAGAGCCAAGATTTTTGAACAGATGTTAACTGAATTTATTCTAAGTGCTAAGATTTTTGCTACTCTTTTAACATTCATATTTACTAATGAAATTTTTAACATGACTTGCAATTTAGTGGTTTCTTAAACCCCATTCTTCTTAACTGTAATTATATAACTCCAGAAGACAGTGTAACCATGCCATTTATGATACCATGCTATAAGATAGCCATCTAATCCCAGAAATATGTTTTTGGATAAGGATGCAAAGACATAAATGTTATTCTTTTGTAATTGTGAATACAAAACATTTTTGTTGGGTGGTAAGGGTTGGTTTCTTAAAGTGATTGTAGACGTTCGTGTTTTGCTTTCTAGCCACCTCCTGTCCGGCTGTTGTATATACATGGCCGGAAGGTGGCAGTGCAGGGTCGGGTGGCCGTTTATAAATGGCCTCCCCACCCCCCTGCTTGTGCGCGCTCCCTGGGAGCGAGCAGCACCGCAATCCAATGCCCACTTTGTCCACTGGACACAGTGGAACACCGATCGTCGTACGAGACCTCTGTGCGAGGTCCCGATCATGTGATCACTGATTGGCCAATCAGTGATCACATGCAGAGTAGTAAGCAAGAAGTCATTTCTGATATTGCTTACTACATGTGACATCTGTGAATGATCACAGAAATCACATGGTACAAGGCTATTCACAACAGCCTTGTACCATGTGACAAGCTGTGACTAATCACAGCTCACACAGTAGTTCTCAATGGCTGCAAGAATGGAGAAATGATTGCTTTTACAGCCTTTATGGGACATTTTGTCTTGTTACAAAACCATAAATGTATTTTATTTGATAGACAAGTGGCACATAATTGTGAAGTGGAAGAAAAATGATAAATGGTTTTCAAAATTTTTTACAAATATCTGAAATGTGTGGCGTGCATTTGTATTCAGCCCCCTTTACTCTGATACCCTTAACTAAAATCTAGTGAAACCAATTGCCTTTTGAAGTCACCTAACTAGTAAAAAGAGTCCACCTGTGTGTAATTTAATCTCAGTATAAATACAGCTGTTCTGTGAAACCCTCAGAGGTTTGTTGGAGAACATTAGTAAACAGTATCACAAAGGCCAAGGAACACACCAGACAGGTCAGGGATAAAGTTGTGGAGAAGCTTAACCACTTGCCTTCCGGCCACTGTATATAAATGGGCTGGACGGTGGCAGTCCAGGGGCGGGTTGCCGTTCATAAACGGCGCCCGCCATTTTAGACTGGGAGAGCGCAGCACCGCGATCTGGGGCCTTCGGACCTCTGTGCAAGGTCCCGATCATGTGATCACTGATTGGCCAATCAGTGGTCACATGCAGAATAGTAACCAAGATGTCACTTCTAACATCATTGCTTACTACGTGTGAAATCTGTGAATGATCACAGAGGTCACATGGTACAAGGTTATTCACAACAGCCTTTTTGTACCATGTGACAAGCTGTGACCAATCACAGCTCACACAGTAGTTCTCAATGGCTGCAAGAATGCAGCCAGAGAGAAGGAGAAATTATTGCTTTTACAGCCTTTATGGGTGTAAAAGCAATCAGTGTAAAAAAAAAAAAAAAATTTTTCATCACCCCCCACAAGTAGTACAGTGTCACCATGGTGACAGTATGTAAAAAAAAACAAAAAACAAATAATATAAAAATGTAAAACAATTTTTAAAAATTATAATTTTTGGTTATAAACTAATTTTCGGTTATTTTTTTTTTTTTTACTAAAAAGATAACGGATTACATTTTGGCAAAGACTTATGATGAAATATTATTTGCAAAATTTTTTAAGAAACACTTTTTTTTCAAAATTTTTGGACTTTCATTTACAAAGCAAAAGAAATAAAAATCTCAGTGGTGAATAAATACCACCAAAATAAAGCTTTATCTGTCTCAAAAAAAATGCTAAAAATTCATAAGGGTAGAGTGTTGCATGACTGCACAATTGTCATTCAAAGTGTGATAGCACTGAAAGCTGAAAATTGTCCTGGATAGGAAGGAGGTAAAAGTGTCCAGACTGGAAGTGGTTAAAAGTAACAAACATGTCATATTTACCTGCTGTGTGCAGTGGTTTTGCACAGAGCAATCCTGATCCCGCCAACTTTCCTGGTCTCTTCCCCCTGCGTGCCTCCATAGCAAGCCAGGGGCACTCATTCGTGCTCACCCCTGAGCTGGTTCTGTGTGTCCATAAACACACAGAGTGTGGCTCAGCCCCACCCCCTGCTCCCTCCTCACTGGCTGTGATTGACAGCAGTGGTAGCAAATAGCTCCTGCTACTGTGTCTGAGCCAATGACGAGGGGAAGAGATGAAATCCGCTGTTCTTGTGCACATAGCTGGATCGGGCTCAGGTAAGTATAAGGGGATAATGGGGGAAAAGCTGAATGGAGAAGGTTTTTCATCTTAATGCAGAGAATGCATTAAGGTGAAAAAAAACCCTTCAGGCTTTAGAACTAATTTAATCTGATCTAGATAAAAGTTCAAAGGCACAGTACACCTTTTGCAAACATATAGTAAATGCAACAACAATAATCGTGTGATCAATGTGCATTTTTTTTTTTTTTTTTTTTTTTTTTTTTTAAACAGGGCCTTCAGAACTTGGTTTATGCAGCTGTGTGGACAGAGCTACTCCCAGCCTCAATAAATGAAACAAACCAAAATATCAGGAATCTGCTTGGGAGATGATCCCGCCTCCCCCCCATCCACTATTTAGATGAAGGTGTGGCATTTTGTATTTTGGGGATGGTGTTTCATGCCATGTTTCATGTTACATCCTAAATACACATGTAACATGAAATCTAAAACTCAAAAGAAGTGCTCAATACCATTATACCAATCTAACAGACTGCAGGGCTTCAGAGTCCAACTCCAAGCTTCTGCCAGCTTGCTTCCAATAGGATATACATAATGCATAGTCTGCATTACATAAGGTTCCAATAAAAAATAATCAATAAATTGTATTGATTGCATAAAGCTAAAAACACTTACACACACCCATAACAGTAAAATCAGTCTATATATGCAGTAAAGCGTGATTCTTATACTCACTGTGGAACTTAAGGAGTTAATGCTCTGCATTGTGTAAAAAGGATGTTTAATCCTGACTTCTCTGATCCCCCTTCTTCCACTGTCCTCGACTCATCTGCTAAAAGAACAGAGCCTTGATGGCAAGCTGCACATGCTCAGTTTGGTGTGTATTGGTAGAGATTTTTTTTTTCTTGAGGGAGTGCAGCGCTGTCCAGACAGAGGGTCAGGGGTCCTGCAGTCTCATAGGACAGTGAAAGGAGAATGAAAACTCCTCCTACAAGCTTTAATCAGTGCTCTTCTGGACACTGATAGAAGTCACAAGACTGCTATATAATGCTGATGAGAAAAGGTATTTAGCAGTTCATATTTACTAAAATAATTGCAATTCCATGTTTTATATTGGAACCTTCCAAGATGTGGACTATCTATTACTAACATGATAAAAAATGTGGAGCTGGCCTTTAGGTTGTTCATAAGAACATGACTGAGACCAATAACCTTTCAGGAAGCCCATATGGAAGAAAATATATTTGAAATATATTTTAAAAATATTCTTCCCAAATATATTAACATATATTTGAAATGCTACAATTTTGGCCATATTCTATCTATCTATATAATCTCTCTCTCTCTCCCTCTCTCTCTCTCTAGATCGCTCTCTCTCTCTAGATCGCTATCTAGATCTCTCTCTCTAGATCGCTCTCTAGATCTCTCTCTCTCTCTCTCTCTCTCAATCTCTCTAGATCTCTTGATCTCTCTCTCTAGATCTCTCAATCTCTCTCTCTCTCGATCTCTCTCTAGATCTCTCTCTAGATCTCTCTCTAGATCTCTCGATATCTATAGAGAGAGAGCTTGGAAAGATTAGTTGTGTGCCTGGTTCTGATTTCCTCAAAGGAGAGAAACTTCTGGGTTACTGGGTGAATTAAATGGCGCATTTGAAATACGCCACCCTTAGCATATGAGAGTAGATTAAGCTATCAGGTAATGCAGGGTTGTATAGTGTATTAGTCAAATGGGAGCATGGGGGTAATGAGTCAATTTTTTTTTTACATTTGTGCCAGATTTTTACCGTAAATGACATAGTATTTAACCTCCCTAGCGGTATTCCCGAGTGTAGCTCGGGGTAAAATGTCTGTACCAAAAGTGGTAACCCCGAGCTACACTCGGGCGCTGCATAGGGAGTCCCTGCAGAGCTTACCTTGTCCTTTGCTCCCACGATGTGTCCCCTGCAGCATCCCCGGCCATCTCCTCCGGCTGATGCCGGCATCTGGCTTCTGTGTTCCGGTCCCTGTGATGTCGGGACGTACGGGCGGCGGCGGCGGCGGGAAATTTGAAAATTTTAAAAAATGTCATTTTTTTTCAAACAAATTTTACATAGCAAAACATTGCTGTTTCAACCCATTTCACATACATTTTGTTTCGAGTGCTTTGTCCTGTGCCCTGCCTGCATTTTGTCTGTTCTTTCTGCCTGGAAACTGAGAAAAGTCCATGGCGTCCAAAAAGTGTCCCTTTAGGTCAAAAGCGGGTTTAGATCAGCTAGAGAACAGCGATAGTAAATCAGAACCACTTGCAGAATTGAGTGATAATGATTCGTGGGGAAATTCGCCAGACACTGAAAACGATTTTGCGACCTTGCTCAGCGATGTGCAAACTTGGCGCTCTATTTCAAATTTCAGTGTTTTTGGTTTGATTATATTATTGAATTAAATGTATTATTATTATATTATTATTTTTTATGATTATTTATTAAATTATAATTTATGATTTCGTGTTTCAAATTTTATCATACCCGGGATGTTTAATAGACTCTTGTTCGGACAGATTTCAGTGAGTTATTCCTAAAAATTACAGCCTACAATAAAAAAACTACATATTTCCATGCAAAATAATGGTACCGCTTTCAGCCAAAAATCTGAAATAATCAGACCGCAAGGGAGGTTAAAAGTTGAGTGTGGAGGGGTAATTTAGGTATAGTAGCATAGAACAAATAAGAGTGCATGGGTGTATAGGAAACATATGAGATATCTCAATTTCTGACCACTTATTGCTAGGTAATTTAACTGACCAGGACAGAATATGCCGTAAATGAGTGGCTCAGTAGTATTTCATTAGATTGGGTGCTCCCAATCCCCCTTGAGAGCTAAAAGCACAGAACAAGAGATTCTGTGAACTATGACATGCCAAAATTAAGGAAAGCATTCTGGAGAGAGCAAAGCTGTACCATCCGTATATAAACTGGAAGTGTCTCGAACAAATACAGTATCCTTGGCAATATGGACATCTTTAACACATTTATTCTACCTAGCAATGTGACAGTATAGGTGCCCTATTTGTTTTATAAGTTCTGTATATCCATAGACAAAGGTATAAAGTTTGATTCAAATATGTAAGCGTAATATGAGTACCAAGGTATTTTATAGAGTCAGAACACCAATGGTAATGGTAGTTATGTTGGAGAAGAGAAAGATGTTCAGGAGAAAGATTGAGGGGGAGGGCTTTAGTTTTGGAAGCGCTAATTTTATAGCCTGATAAGTTGCTAAAGTCTTGAAGTAGCTTATGTAGGCCTGGCAGGGAAATACGAGGGTCTGTAATGGTCAATAAGATGTCGTCAGGCGAATAATGATAGCTTAAACTCCTTTTGTCTAACCCTAACTCCTGTATGTCTGGATGTAGCCTAATTGCCGCTAATGGTTCTAAGCATAAAAAGGAGGGGGGATAGAAGACACCCGTCTGGTACCATAAAACATTTGGAAGGGATAAGACACAGCACATGGAAAGGTTAACCTGTGCCATGGGCGAGGAGCACAATGCGTTGATAGTTTTAAAGAACGGACCACGTAGTCCAATGTGGCATAGAATTGCTAACATATAAGGCCAGCTCAGCCTATCGAATGCCTTTTAAAAGTAGGACTGATGTTTTAGTACAATTAAGCAAACTTAAGTCAATCGTCCTTCTCATATTATCACCTGCTTGTTTAGCTAGCACAAAGCCAACTTGGTCCTGATGGATAAGTCTAGGTGGGATGGGGGCTAGTCTGTTCGCCAGAATTTGATGAAAATTTTGTAGTCCAAGTTAAGAGCAATAGGTCTAGTTAGCCGGAGCTGCAGGGTTTTTCCCAGGTTTCAAGATGACGGTAATATATGAGTGCTGGAATTGGGAGTGGGGAGTTTCTCCAGAAAGTAGAGATTTATAAAGGGCTAAGAACGGGGGAGCTAAGCTAGGACAAAATTATTTATAATAAGAATAGGTAAACACATCTGGGCCTGGTGATTTATGCAAAGGTAGATCTTTAACTACTTTTTCTAATTCTTCATAGGTAATATCAATATTAAGAATGGTGAGGTCAGTATGTTTAGGTAAAGGAAGATTGGACATGACATTTTCAAAGGCTTTTATATTGAATTGTGGATGGAGTTCTGGAGAGAGACAGTTGTACAATTTACTATAGAAGAGGCCAAATATTTTAGCTATGGTGTAAGGGCAATAGGTAGGGGTACCATCTGATTAAAAAAAGGAAGTCAGGGATTGATTGATGAAAATTGGCTCGCAGCTCATTCACCAATAATCTATGGAGTTTATTAGCAAATTTGTAGAACTTTTTGTTTCATCCACAACATATTCTTCACCAAACCATTGGCATCCATAGCCTTAAGCTGATTTCTTAACCACTAGCCTACAGGGCACTTATACCCCCTTCCTGCCCAGGCCAATTTCCAGCTTTCAGCGCTGTTGCACTTTGAATGACAATTGTGTGGTCATGCAACACGATACCCATATTAAATTTTTATCATTTTTTTGTGATAGAGCTTTATTTTGGTGGTATTTAATCACCTCTGGGTTTTTTATTTTTTCTTAAACCAAAAACCAGTGAAAAAAAAAACAAACTTTTTCTTAGTTTTTGTTATAAAATTTTGTAAATAAGTGATTTTTCTCCACTGATGTGCGCTAATGAGGGTGCAGTAATGGGCACTGATAGGTTGCACTGATGAGGAGGCACTGGTAGGTGGCACTGATGGGCATTGGCAGGCATCACTGATGGGCACTGAAAGGCAGCACTCATATATGGCACTGATAGGCGGCACTGATTGGCACTGTTAGGCGGCACTGGTAGGCAGCATTGACTGGCACTGCTAGGCGGCACTGACTGGCACTGATAGGTGGTACTGATGGGTGACACTGAAAGGCGGTACTGATGGGTGACACTGAAAGGCAGCTCAGATGGGCACTGATGGGCACTGGCAGGTGGCATGGATGAGCGCTGAGAGCTGGCACTGATGGACACTGACAGGTGGCGCTGCTGGGGCTACACAGATCATCAGGGCACACTGATCATCAGTGCTCTGATCTGTGTACATGTCCCCTCCGAGGAATGCCGATTACCGGCTCTCCTCTCCTCACGAGCTGTCAGCGTGACAGTTCGTGGGGAGAGAAATACCGATAACCGGCATTTCCTTGTTTACATGTGATCAGCTGTGATTGGACAGAGCTGATCACAGACCGAGCCGACATCTTCGGCTCTTTACGTGGATTGGTGATCCGCTGTGTCCGAGGGACAAAGCGCACCGCTGATCACCGCGCTCCGGGAGCCACGCATGTGCGGTTAGAATAGGAGGACGTCATATGAGGTCATTGGAAAGTTCAAAAGACTAGATTCTGCTTTAGTGAGCAGCTGTATCAGTTCAGCTCTAGCTCTTGCAGAATCTCATTTAAGTCAGGAGCTGGCTGCTATACAATGTCCTCTTATGTGGACCTCCCATAATTGAAAAACTCCTGAAGGGCTTTGAACAAAACAGTTTTAGTATTTACATCGCATAGCAATCAGTCATTGAATCTCCAATGACACATGCGTGATTTGGAGTACCCTAATACTATATCTAACACTTTAGAGGAATGATCGGACCATGTAATTGGATTGATGCCTGAGCATGTCATAAACTTAAATAGTGGGGTAGAGACAAAAAATTATCCAATCTGGTGTAGACACTGTGCACCGGTGAATAAAATGAGTATTGTTTAGAAGTAGGATGTCCTATTCTTCAGGGGTCAAACCGTCTAGACTCCCTGACCTATTGACAAAAAGACATCGAAAGTTTTGAAAGGTGTTTAGAGGCAGGTGGCCCTAAAGGGACTTTCAATCTCTGTTGGGGGACATGATTAAATTAAAGTCTTCCCCATAACTTTGAATGAATGTAAAGAATGTAGCAGGGGGGAAACTACATCGTTTAGAAAACCCATTTGGACAGAGTTCGGTGCAGACGTTGAGAAAAGTAATGGGAGTTGCTCCTAGATTACAATCAAGGTATACAAAACAGCCATGAGGGTCTAATTTGGAGGAATCGACCCGTAGTGGGCATGTTCGTCTAATTAGGATGGCAACTCCCACTTTTCCTGTTGCATTTGAGACTATATATACTGAAGAGAAATATTTAAGTGCAAAATGAAAGGGACTTCCTTTGCAGAAATGTGTTTCCTAAAACAGAATGTCAGCGTGGGAGTGTCTAAATTCCTTCACGGCCTGCTACCTCTTCTTCATAGAGTTCAAACCTTTTACATTACAGGATAAAATACATAAATACATTGTACCTTAAAATAACATAGCATCATGATAGTGCAGGTCAAATAAATCAAATAGATTGACAAAAAGAAACTGTAGTACCCAGGGATGGTAATTGTAAGAAAAAGGGGAGAAGAGTCTTAATAAAAAAGACATGAAAAAGGTCTCTTCAAAGAAGAGGGTTATAGGACATACCCAAAACGCCAGTAGAATAGAGTTATCACAAATAGAACACCTGAGAGCCATAGCCTTCTCAGGTGACCATGGCATAAGCCATAGGTAGTAGGAGGGGACATGGTGATGTCAAGGACAGGGCGGAAGCCTCCTGCATCTTCCCAACAGGACTTCAATGGGAGTAATCATTAGAAAGATCTGTAATTTGATCCACAAAAGGTAAGCCAAAGCATCCACTTAAGAATACAGGAATGTGGGCAGATACCAAAATAGAGTCCCAGGGATGGATCCAGGACAACTGGGTATTCTCATGAAGCATCAGAAAATCAAGAGGTAAGCATACATTGAGAAACTGAAATACGGGTCTTTATTAATCTATTCCTCTATTAATACTATTTCACCCTGCAATTCCTGTGCTATTTTTCCAATTTCTGATGATATTGTGTGAGTGATGTTTTGCAGCAGGGTATGTAATTTAGCATCTAATACGTCTACTATTAAGTAGGGTGTTGAGTGTGTTGAAGGGGCATGACATGACATAACATTACCACCTGTGCTGAAGCCTCTGCGTCGTCCGCGATCGCCTCTGGGGGAGTCGCTTCACTTGAGGCCTGGGATACAGCGTGTGACAGGAACCGTTCCACGTTTGTAGGCCTCAGGTCTTTGGCTGGAAAGGAAGGAGGTTTTTGCTGCCCGATTTTTTTCCTATGTGGATCCTGGGTGAGAGTCCAATGGCAATGCTTCCTGCTAAAAAGTGCTGTTTGTTGTTGCGGAGGAGCCGGGGAAGGTAGTGGTGTGGTGGAGTTGGTCAGTTACACGTCCATCATCTTCACCACCCACGTATGCCCCCTAACAGGGCCATTTTAATACATGGACACCCCTGGGCACTGCCAAGGGGCCCATGATAATCCTGCATTACACTATACTTGCCAACTGTCATGGATTTGCTGGGACAGTCACGCTTTTTTATAAGCTGTCCTGAGATGGCTGTGTCCTGGGCAGCATCCTGGAATCAGTACTTCAGGGACAACAGCAACCTGTCAAGTAAATATACAATTGGAATAACATCTTCCCCCACTACTTGTTTATACTCTCATTCTTGAGAGTAGGTAAATGGGGGCAGGCTGGTAAGGACCCCAGAGCATTAATTTGCCCAGGGGTCCGTGATGTTATTAAGACAGCACTGCTCCTCAATGCACGTCATTTGCCTATATGAATGATGTTCACAGTGCTCACTGGGTCTCCTGGAATATTCACATAACATATCCCAGGAGGCCTTTAGTCATTCATTCACTAGGCTGGACATGGGCGGGCCTAGCAGCATGTCATTGCAAGGCCCCCCCAAGATGAACCCAAAAGAGCCAGCGTGCATTGCGATGACGTGAGACCCAGCGGTGTCTGTTGACTGACGGATGTTATTGGGGCAATGCTGGATCTGGTGGCTGAGTGAGTGAGTATCCGAACTTTGCTTAGACCACCACAAGGTAAGCAAGGGCAGAAAAACAAATGGGATCAGGGTAAGTTAAAGGACAGCTTTAAGTCTAATTTTGATAAATGTAAAGTTATGCACTTGGGGGCTTAATCATGCATGCATGCATCATACACACTAGGAAGAGTACAGCTGGGAGGGGTCAATGGTGAAGGAGCTGGTGTTCTGGTAGAATATAGGCATAATGATAGTATGCAATGCCAAGCTGTAGTTTCTAAAGCTAGCAAAATACTGTACTTTCTTGTATTATAAGAGGTATAGACTCCAAAGAGAGACATCGTTTTGCCCCTGTACAAATCATTAGTAAGACCTCATTTAAAATATACAGTTCAATTTTTGGCGACAGTTCACAAAAAGAGTTATTGGCAAACTGGAGAAAGTGCAGAAAAGGGCAACCAGGCTGATGAAAAACATGGAGGAGCTCAACTATGAGGAAAAAATAGCTGAACTGAATTTATTTTCTAGAGAAGAGGAGATGAACAGGGATATGATTAACATGTATAAATACATAAGTGGTCCATATAGTGATCGCCTAGAGGAAAAGAGATTTAACTGTCACATTAGAAAAGGCTTCTTCACAGTAAGAGCTGTGAAAATGTGGCAAATACTTCCTCAAGACCTTTCTAACCAGTTCAGTAGATTGTTTTAAAAAAGAGCTCATAAATGCACAAAATATAACTGGATATTAAGGAATATGTAAACCCTCACCTTGTGAAACAACCCATTTAGTTTAAAATAGAAATGAAAGATAAAACATTTGTGTATATATATTAAACATAAACAATAAACACCTTATTCCCATTATTTATAAGAGATCACATACCTTCTGACCTTCTGTTCTCAGTGCTCAGGGAAAAGAAATAGCTGCACACTGGTCTTCCCACTGAATGGCTGTGCAAGAAGAGGGGGGTCAGCACACCATATGTAAGTGAATTATTCATTTACCAGAACCCTTTGGCTGATATGGCAGCCTGAAAGCATATAGTACCACAATCCAAGTCATACAATAGCCATATCCAGACCGCCCATAGCTGTTGATAGACAGCTCACATCCACCAAAGAGAAACAAAAAATCCAGGGAGAAAATGAATAGTGAAGTACATTTGTATTCAATCCACAGTAAAGTGAACATAAAGTATTGCACTCACAATAAGGGGTGCTGAGGAAAGGCACCAACATAATCAGCTTCTTGGATTGGGACCTGACAACTTGCACCACCACTCGTGTCCAAGGAGCCGGTGTGTCTTCTACAGAGACCAAAAGTAACGTTCAACACTGAACTGAAAGTGATGCCAGCGACTTAGCCTCAATGCATTTCATGCTCCGCGTGTCATCAGGACGGTGACGGGCTACCTAGCACCCCACCTAGGTGCTTCTGTCACAGCACTGTTTCCTCACCACTAGAACACAGGACCAAGGTATTATAGCTGGGCATAGTACCTAAGAAATAAACAACACTACCTTAGGTGTAACCTGGAACTCCCCTTTATTAAAAATTCATACAGAATTTATACTACACAAAATCAGATAAGAGCTTGATCACATCATCCTAAACAATGCAACCTTTAACCAGTAATATCATCAGTATATCTAAGAGTACACCTAATGAACAGCTAGCAGCTAACCGTAACCGAATTAAACAGTGATCTAATTAACAATAAGCTTATCAACAGCCAGGCACCCAGACCAGTCAGGGAGCCCACCTCAGACAGTTCGGCACCTAGAACCCTGAATTCACAAAGTACATTACACATGCTGTCATACAAACTCATACAATATTCCAACAGTCTGAAAAAGTGGACCAGCCCTTAGTTCCCTCCAAAAGCCTCTGTCCCGGCTGGGTCTGTCACAAGGACCAGGTGGAAGCCTTGCAAAAATGGGATACAGATGCTTGATGCTGGAAAGCCCAAGAGTTACCAACAGCCCTGGTGGAACGGGCTCTAATGGGGAAGGGGGGAACCTGTTCCTTAAGGGTGTAGGCCCTGTAAATAAGTTGTCTGAATCTCCTGGCAATGGTGGATTAGAAAGTGTGATGTCCTCTCTGAGGAGCCCTAGACAGAACAGAGAGGGATTAGAACTTGAGGACAGAGACTCTGGCTGCCAAACAGACCGTAACAGCCCTGACCACACCCAGGGAGTGTAAGTTGATTTCCTTGTCATGAAGGACATTGGGAAGGAAGAACAATGTCCTGACTGAGGTGGAAAAGGCAGTAACCTGTGCCTTGAGGGTATTCTGGGCCAGACACTGGTCAAGATTAGACTGTAGAAAGGCCAAGGTGATAACTTATTATCTAAAATTCAGCCATCTTGTCTTCATATCAAAAATAAATATGCAGCA